CCGGCAATTCGAACTCAAGGTAAAAGGAAACTGGCTCATTTACCGTTACATTATGTGTTATCATCTTGATGGTGGTGCTCTTTGTGGGTTTTAGGTCGTCTTATCATTGTCTTTTGATTTCAGCTTTTGTTCACGCCCACGACGGTCAGCGTCTCGACTCATTTTGCCCGAGTCTCTAACGTGCTGACCCAACGCAATTCAGAAACGTACATCTCATCCATTTTGCCAGTTCACCAATTTTACCACATGTAAACTCAACATATTGAACTCGGCCAAACTGCTTTTTGTTGTATTTAAACTAACATTTTTCACATCATTTATTACACCATTTGCATGATATCTTCGAGAACGAAATGTCATACGAATCCTTGCAATAAATGCTTTAACCATCAATAGAATATCGCCTACATACAGCACATTCATCACGTTCACCACGGAGCTTACATGTTGTGCTTGTTTTCCCGTGGACATGGGGCAGCCATCCGGCTTTTCTATCATTCAAAGCCATGTAACCAAACCGAGGCTGGAAGGAAAAAAGTCTGTTCCCTTTTATCAATATTTGAAGTTGTTAATACTGTTGGCAAAGGGGCTACAAGGAACAAGACAAACGTAGAAGCATGGTCAAGGTTTGTTGCCTTGAAAGAATTGACAGCGGAAAAGACTGGGTCCATGCTTGCACTATCGCCTTCGTTTATTTTTTCTTTGTTTGGTTGGTTGTTTGTTTGTTTTTGGTCTTTTTCATGATTTTAATTTGATTTTCTTGGGCCTACTGCGTTTTTTTCACATGAACTCGCTTCGAATACAAAGACAAACTGAAAGCAGGAATATGCAAAGCTTGAAATAAGGAACATTTCATTGGCAATGGGACGTCATAGCCCAGCAAAACAATAACGGAGAATTTAGAGGACATGAAGCAGAATAAAGTTTCTGCCACCGAGGATTCCGGGGGCAGATCGCGCTATTACTTCCCTCACAGGGCGACCTTCAGCAGTTAGATTAGCGCCAAATGTACATGTATATCTCTTTTATTTTAATAAACATGTCATGGGTTGAGTGTATGGAAAAAGTTGGTACAAAAGAATTGTGTCAACTCTAAGTGTTGTTTTTTACGTTGAGCGTTGGATTTACGGGCCTATAGACATAGGCCAAAGCCCACTGCAGTTTGCAAACTGTAGTCGGCTAACTAATGGTTTAAAAATGGGCTACTAAGTGAAGTGTTGTTTTACTAATCGCATGTACCACAACACTTGTGTTCGCTAGCATAGCTAAATTCAACAGTGCATCGGTGTGAGTTTAATGCATATATCTCTCTGCCTTAACTAATGCCCTAAAATAGATTCCATGAAAGATTTTTTTTATTTTCTGTACAGCTTGTGATCACATTTCTTTTTATCACTGGTCTTTGCTGCCACAGTGCTATATTGTGTCCGTTATTTGACTTCCATTCCCGCTAACAAATAATTTACTATAAAATCAAACCCAAACATGGACTATTTCAAGCCAGCTCTGGCTGGTAATCATTTAGAGGTAGGCTGAACACGCAGGACGAATCCACTCTACGCAGTGGTTTTTATGACAGTCCAACCAACAAACTCCTCCAGGTAGCCAAACGTGCGTACAAAGCGTTCAGGGTAGTTTTAATAGCAATATGGTTTGAGTAATAGGGCCACTTTGTTTATCAGTAAGGCGCAAGTTCGAACACAATATGCGGTTCCACCACTGGTATTCCTTACCAACGTGCCTTGAAGATCAGTTACCATTCCTTTTTTACTCAAACGAGTTGCAGCTAAACATTCCGGACTGTGTTCATGGTCCTTGTCATCTTGCACAGTTATTTTCCTGTAAAATAGTTCCGTCTTTCCTCATCGCATTGGCCAATCAAAATACGCGAAATCTCTCGACCCAATGAGCGTTTGGAAAGGGTCAACAGATTTCGCGCATTGTTATTGGCCAATGCATTGCAAACTCTTAGAGGCGCGCAATTGTGAATCGCCCTTATTACAAACAGGCTATATCTGTGACCAACCGACGCAGCCACACCCATACTACTATGGGCCTTAGCTGTGATTCCAAATGGTAGACTATTAGTCCAACCGTCCTTGTTAGCCCGAGTGGTGGCTCGAACTTGCTCCAAAATCGTCTGGCGCAACACGCGCAGGCACGCCTGCTAGCCCGCACGTGGAGTTCACACCGTTGGAATGTGCGCGTGGGGACTTCGCAGATACAAGTCGGCTCAGCTCGCTCCCTTGATCCTTTTTCACTGGGAGGCGTTCGTTAAGTCTTGTCAACGGAACCCCCAGGATCGAGTCAGCTGAGGGCATCTGACCGTTCATCAAACCTTGAGTATCTCGTTCAGTATGTTGCGTAGTGCACTACGTTCTTCTAAACCGCTGATTTTCCTTCGGTGTTCTCTTTTATTTTAAGTTCCACTGAGGCTGACAGCGAATGCTGCTATGACGGGGCCGGCAACCTTGTCTACGCGCAGGACAGCATCTACGGCAGCTTCTCCAGCCGCATCAGCCGGTTCTCCGGGGCCGTCCCGGGCCTGTCGTCGGCAGCGACCGATCTTGTGCCTTACATCTTCTGCAACGTCATAGGAAAGGACGACAACCATTACTACCGACAGCTGAGGCCGACGCGGGACTGTAGGGATTATGAGCCGGTTCGGCCCGGTGAGTGTAACGGGGCTTTTCAGACTGAAAACAACTGCGACTATACTCCCTTCTTTCTCCATCTTCCGTGTAGCAGGTGAACAATCAATGACAGCATTATGTGGCTGCATTAGTCATGAATCCCTAGAGATTTGACCATAGTATCAGATATCAAGGAAATTCATAACAGCACTTCAAAGACGCATCCAACGAACACGATTTGAGATAGAGTGTATCTAATAAGAAAAGTGAACAGAGTAAGTAGGAACGTGGATAGCAAGTAATCAAGTCCAAACATTATTATCAAAATCAACAGGAGAGCATACAAACAGCAGTGAATTTGGTTTTCTATAGTTACCCACTGAAAAAACAGGTTGGTAAGTTAAGAAGGTTGTATGCTTACACCGAAGCTTACTTCACAAATGTGACAGTAAGTAAATCTGGGTCCAAATTTGCTCAAACTGGGTCAAATTTGCTTACTCCTTTTCTGGATCAAATGACACCTCTTCCAGGTCAGATTATTTTTAATGTCATATTGACCCAACTTTGTAAGTATCGTGTTTTTTTTTTAATCCGGTATATAATTGAGCAAATTTCGACCGAGATTCCATATTAGTGTAACGTAGGACTTTTCAAACTGAATGCGACTCAAAATTACTAAAATCTGTCATTCCTAAACCGTGGGCAATTCATTTTTTTTTCACTTTGATCCCCCCGCAGCGATGGTGTACGGTGATCCGCACTTTGTGACATTCGACGACATGGGCTACACCTTCAACGGCCTAGGGGACTTCATTCTAGTCCGGACTGTGTCGCGCGACAGATTCGAAGGGCGCTTCGTAAAGGTCATCGATGACAGTGGTACGTCTCACCCTTGGTCGCTCTTACCAGTCCACAACGAAAACACTAACATATTCAACAGTAATGGGCAGAAGCTTAACGTTAAGTTCCGCGGTAGACAAAAGCATTTTTGGTTCAGCTGTTTAATATTCGAGAACATTATCCACCAAAATGTACAAAATACTCCAACAGTATGGGTATTTTGAATCCCTAACTGTGACTTATTCTCTTCAGGGTCACTTTGATCCTTTCGAGATCATGTTGACCCTTTTGAGAATCATTTTGACCTGTAAAAAGGTTATTTTTGACCAGGAAAAGGGTCAGAATGACTGAGTTGCAAACCGGTAAGCCGTCAACAATGGATGAGGGTCAATTCGAATTTTGTTCAAGCAAACTTTAGATTTTCACACCCTTTCGTTCGCTCAATGTTTTGTGTTTTTGTCCTGGGTTTAATTTTATTTCCTTGCGGGGGAGGCAAGCACCCCTCCCCTCACTTCGACCGTGAATCAGACATTCCTAGACTTTAAGGTGTTATAAGCCTTAAGTGCCCATGCCTGTTGCGGTTCGTCACCAACATGCTCCTATCAAGCGAGCCGCGGCGGCTCCGTTTCTTTGTTCGACTTATGATTAGCCATACTCAGTTCAAAGGTCAGACGGACCGCCCCTTTTCCCTTGACAGGCAATTTCCGCAATGCCACGGTGCTGGCGGCTCTGGCTGTGATGCAGGAGGGCCAGACAGACAAGAGGTTCGAGATCAAGAGGGACGAGATCACTCTGATGACGCTCAGCGTGGGCCGGTCGGGGACGCTCCAGGACATCAGGGGCAGCGACTACCAGCAGTATCCAGGTGAGGAGTGGGGTTGGATTATCCAATTCTAGACCAAATTCAAAACAAAAGGGCTATTTAAGAAGGAAACAACAGCAACTTTGACCTGTCGCCGTCAGCCAGTTTTAGCCACGCCCCATGGACGTGGAATTCAAAACATTGAATTTTGTTTGTCTCGAAATCTAGGCGTCTTGCGTTCATTTTCTATATTGGAAAAAAGTTGACAAGCTGCGTTGACGTGGTTATTTCTACCCATAGAGCTATATAGGAAGAGTTCATTTGCAAAAACAGATAACTCCAGTCATAAAAAACTTTACTTAATCAAGCTTTTCAATTTGTTTTATTCAAAGAAACTGCAACAGATTAGAATTTGTCAAGTTATTGCAAACTTAACAAAATAAACAAAATGAATGATTCATTCAGTGTTGTAAAGTTTGCGATAACTTGATAAATTCTAATCTGTTCAAATACATTTCTCTTTATTTAAATAAAAAATTGAAAAGCCTGATTAAGTAAAGTTTTCATCACTGGCTTTTGCAAATGAACTCTTCCTATGTAGCTCTATATGTTTCTACCACATCCCCGGCCAATGACGAGCCGACATCTATAGGGTGTGGTAACCGATTTACTTCACCCGGTTGTTGACCGGTGGGGATCAGTATAGAGGACGTGCTTTTTGGCCGTGTTCGCTTCACACGGATCCGAATCACGATCAGCGATCCGTCGTTGGTTTACGGACACCAAACCCACATAGTGAGTGGTGCAAACCAGTGTTAGGATCGCTGATCCAGATCCATGTGAAGCAAACAGGCCCTATGGACAGAGTTAGCCAACTTCAGGCTTTGGAACCAAAATGGCTCTTCATTAGATGTGCCAGACAGTATTCTTCTATTGTGTTCGACTGCCCATGCGCACTTGTGCATAATCCACCATTTTGCTTCCAACAACTGAGACACCCATGTCGCAACTCTCTCTGTGAGCAGCTCTGTGATATGCCAGCCACCAGCTTCTCAGGCTGTAAACATTCAGGTTATAAGCCTGATGACTGCTGTCACTTTCTCAACGGGGTTTAATCCTGCTCATGCATGTAGTTGTAACTGCTGAGAAAAAACCACTCGAGTTGCAAAAACTTTCGACACAAGTTACCCCGCACGTCCCGTAGACTATGAAGTGCCAACTGCCCAAAATTGTTCATGGCGTGGCTCGAGCGACGACCATTTTGTCAGGTTCTACCCGTTAAACTGTACACAAGATATATCCCAAGTACCAGGCAAAATCGTCTTGTAACTCAAGATAGTCGTCTCTCGAACCTGGCTTCAATCTTACTGTTATCGATTTAATGGGAACAGAAACATGCCTCATACCTTTCACAATAATGTTTTGAGGATTTGCGATATTCTGAACCGGTGGTGACTTTGATTTGGATTGGTAGATTTTTTCGTGATCTTCCCGGAGAATGACGGCAGCGGCATCGTGCCCATAATGATCATTCTGCTCCGGGAATCTCAGATTGGACTGGTGGTGGAGGCTTCGGAGGACGGGCTATCAGCTATGGTTCTGCTACCCTCAGAATACAAGGTAAATGTGGCTCTACACGGGTACGGTCTCTTTTAACCCTAAAAGAGCCTGGGCGGATTCCGCCCCATCCCGCCATTGCAGCGGTGCATTTTTTTCAGAGCTGAGCCTTCAAACAATTTTCATAGCAACTCTGTGCAGTCAGTTTAACAGCGGTTTCGTGAAAATCGAACATACCATCAGTGGAGTGGCTAGGATTTTACTAGTGGGGGCACAAAGGGGGCAGCGGCATCTTAGGGGGGAACCAGCTTTCAGTGGTGTGGTTTTTGTGGGCAAGTTATTGTTAGCCTTGTTCAATATCCATTCAGGGGGGGCACCTGGGGGCACTGGGAATTTTTTTGGGGGGGACACATGTTCCCAGCCCCCCCCCGTTATGCCACTGCATACCAATATTCCGAGACAGGTAAGCCAAAAATGTGTACTCTTGCCGCCGCTGTTTACAATGAACGCAGGCTGACACGCGTGCGGCATTAAACTTCAAATGACTGTTACAACAAACGATATGTTTGGTTGAGGTCAAACTTTGTATTTGTTATAATAAGGAGTGTATCTTTATTCATGATAAAAATCGAGCATGGCACAGCCTAGTTTTGAGGGGAGGGATCCCCCTCCCGGCTGTGAGATAATCCAAAATAACCTGGCCCCCTAAGTGCAATTAATCCCGCCGTGTCTTGCAAGATTTGGCCTGCCGTAAAATCCGGTTTCTTTTCCCTTGAACGGTCCTTAATCATCAGGTGCGCGTTATTTTGTGTGGTTCGTCACGCACATTATGATTTTAATGAGCTGTTAACAAGTGCTAGAGACTTTTTGCATTTGATGTGATATGGCGGGCCTAGTTTAAAGTTATCTGTGGATAAATTGGAGCAATCGCGTAAAATGGACTGAATTGTTTTATCTTTTAAACAGAATACAGCTCACAAACCAGATGCGTGTGATTCTGGGCAAGCTGTCACATTCTTGCATAAGAGACGTCTGGTACCAATGATTTTTTAATGGAAAGATGTAACCAGAGAAAGTTTTTTTTCCCTCTGGGGAATTGCAATTTGACGGCCCATAATGTAATCTGTGGATTTCTGGATGCATGACATTATCTTTCAAATTTTGGAAACCTAGCTCGCAAATGGTTTCAAATGAGAATAAGTTATGACCTACGTGGACTTGACTCCATTCTGAAATGTAATGTTGGCTTCAAAGCTTTAAGGTGCCTTATACAGTGGGGCCTGCGAGAGGGGAAAATGCCTCCCTCCCCCCGGGAACGCGTCTACACATCAGAAAAGCACTATACCTTCCTTTGGAGGGTTTTTTTTTGGGGGGGGACACCATTTTAGCAGTTATTGTTTCAGAGAAAGTCCCTAATTTGAAAGCTTGGATGCACCACTGGGAGGGATCCCAACAGACTTGACATACCTCTATTTTTGTGGAAAACACCCCGTGCCACAGTGGTTAAAATTGGCACAGTGAGGGTGTACAGGCACGAATTCCGGTGCACTGAAGACAAGTGCGGTTGTACCTGTCGTTATCACCCGATCCAACTACCCAAAGCTACTTATCAGTAGGGTTGCAACTTGCACACCAAAAACGCCATGCTCTGAGTAGGTCGGTATCATAGGATCGTATAGCATGGACTACGTTCGCCACACTTGTAAGCTAGACCAGTCTTAGCTAGTGCACCGCGGCAGTGGCTCTCTGTTGTGCGACAAATGAGGGCGCTTTTCATGCCACCCTTACAAGCGTGGCGAACGTAGTCCTGCCACATTCCTATGATACCGACCTGCTTGTAGCATCGCGTATTTGGTGAACAAGCCCTACTTATTAAGTAGCCGTGGGTAGTCGGATCTGGTGTTGTTATAGCGAGCTTGATGTCACCTTCAAGTTGCTTTCCAAGTTTCACCCATGTTAACGACAAGTTACGAAAGACAGAAAATGTATCATGGGTGAATAATATAATAACAGTTCACCTGAAAGCTGTTCACATTTTGGGGTGACAGGGTACCAGACCCTCGAGTGTGTTTCACTGGTTTTTCAAGACTTGACCCAATTATCAGTTTATCAATTAATTAATCAGGATTTGTGGTTCTGTTTTTGACCAGGTTGTGATGCAGGGGATGCACACGGTGGAAGGCCTGTTCGGTAACTGGGACGAGGACAAGAGTAACGACCTCAAGGGATCTGACGGCCAGAGGCAAACGGACATGACACCAGAGGCCATCTATGAAGGCTTCGGCCAATCATGTAAGGGCATAAGAGGCCACATACTGTAACATCAGCACTCAAAAACTGGATTGGTCAGACTGAACCAGAAATAGGTCACGGCCGCCTGAACAATCGGGTCCTTACACAATAAGACTATTTTACGGATCAAAACGACCCTGAAAAGTCCGTAGAGGACCCAGATCCTGGTCATTCGACCCGGGATCATTTCGGGTGTTCATAGTCATCTTCTAAACAGCTAGAAGGGCTTCCGGAGGTAACAACCGCGGCAAGTGTGGGCTATTTCATTTTTCCGATATCTCCACAGTGCAGTTTTTAGGAAGCAAGCCTTCAGGAGGTTTAGGATAACCCTGTGCGGTCGTTTTGACACCAATTGTGCAAAAATCGAACATACACCGGTCGTGCACAGCGCGCATTTTTCGAAACAAGTCAGCCAAGAGCGTATCGGTATACTTTTTCCGCTGCGGTGCTCAGTGCACGCGTACTGGCACGTGTAGCCTTGTGATTGTAAAGGCAAAACTATATATCTGATTGAGTTCAAACTTCACATTCGTTTTTACATGTAGGCTAAGATTAAAAACAATCGAGTGCAGCGGAAGAGCTGAGTTCTCAGGGGCGGGCAGAATACCACCTCCCCGGCTGTAAGATGGGCCAAAATAACCGAATTCTTTCAGGGTTAAATTCCTTTGCCTAACATGTTTCTAAATCAAACTCCTGCTTACAATGGGGCCTTCAAATAGCAAGAAAAGTGCCTAATTTAGATTGCTAAAATATAAGATTGCTGACATGGTCTGAGTGTTGTCCAACCGCCGATGCAGTTGTCCACGTACGTTCACAATGTAGATTTACATTTTTTCGAAAGGTGGTTTTTCTTGAAAAAAAAATCGACTAACCAATCCTAAACTTTTCAAGCCTTTCACAACCGACTTGGTGATATGCCCAGTTGGTGGAAGCTTTGAAGCTGTTGTTACCGTGGTCTGCTTTCTATGTACGAAGCAGCAAAACATTAGAAAAAGTTCAAATAAAAAAAAGTCTAATCCTTTAGGGCAATTCATGAAATTGAAGATCATGATAATCTGTTTGAATTGAGTAATATTCCTCCTTCAAGTCCACATCCTTATCGCAGTGGCGTCAGAATCATATACGTACTGCACGTTTGTTTGGGTGTTTTTTTTAGCTGGAGGCACGTTTGTAATTTCCCAGGTTGCGAAGTGAACACCCATTTTCTGAAAATGAAAAGGACTGGCCGAAATGCAACATTTAACCGAGCGCTAGACTGTTACTGATAACGACTTCTAATTTTCCTTTGGGCGACTCTGGACTCGTCCACTTTGTCCACAGGGCGAACCGACGATTCCCTCTTCACAGACCGCGAAGATGTCGACGGTACCTACCGGCCCATTTTCCAACCGCCGACCGGAGGCGTCTCTGAGCAAGAGCTGAAACGCGTCTGCGGGGATGACAAATCCTGCAGGTGGGCCACTGATTTCTGCGTAGGCCTACTGACTGGATAGGGCGACAAGACCCATAGGATGGAAGTCACTGTATGTAGGCGCCACCCTCTCAGGGCCCCAAATCTCAGGCTGTTGTTTTCGAGACAGACAGTGAGATTTCATTTCTTAGGCACAGTGGGCTATCGTGTCACGAGTGTTACAAGCCGTTTCAGGCGGACTTAGATTATTTCAGAGGTATTCAAGAACAAATCTCGGATATCTTTAACCGTCTTTAGAGCAGCCATCTTTTGGAACCAAAAATCGAGTCACGAAGGCTTTATAATTTTTTTTTTGTGCGCGGCGATAAACTGGCAATCTATCCACTAGGCCTAGTACATGTAGCCAAAGAGTGTATTCGACAATAGCTTCAACGAGTTGACTCAGGTTTAGACTTGTCCCCATTGTGTCGCTTGTTTGACACACAACACACGACCATCCACTGGTTAGGGTTGCCCCTTGTAAGCTGAGCAAACGAACATAGATCAGTGAGTTCAGCCCCACGTAGCAGCGAATGAATTACGACAAACAAAACCCACAGAACAGTTAACTTTAGTTTGATCTTGTACTGAATATCTAATAAAGAGCTTTTTTTTCGTGAGATCAATTTCTGATGGCCTCTAACGGGAGACTGCTTTGCTAGTTCGTAACCGACTGAATCAAAGGTCACAGGGGACCAAGTCCGAAGATGGACAACGTCCACACCAGAACGCGAAGAATTGCGAACCCGAAATTTTCTTCACACAATGTTATTGCTTGCAAGGCCGAAGGACAAAGACTAACTTCGACAATTCACGATTTCTCCCAAAGGTTCGACTACGCAGTAACGGGGAAGGAGACTATGGCTAGGGGGACAGCTGAGGACGCGATGTACTTTAAGAAAGCGATGGCGGCTTCAAATAAATGTGCGTACGATGTGGGAACGTGGTTCTTAAAATTGAGAATAAAAGATATCATTTGAATGGGAAACGCAGGATGAGCGAGTCGTATTGAACTCGTCTCGTCTCAGGCACATTGATATCATCGTGGAACAGAAATAACTAAGGCCTAAACCGAGGGCGGATCTAGGATGAGACAGGGGTCATGACCCCCGCCTCCAAATAAAAAGAGCCATTTTGTTTCATTGTTGAGGATAAAGAGAGAAGGGTTTCGATGGTCTACGTCTTTGCCCACCCTTCCAAGATCGTGTAACGCTTACTCCGCCCCTTCATCGCCCGACTTATAATTTCCTTTCGACCATTCAGTGCTCATGTGTCCGTTCCCGCCAACCCCTTCACACGGCGAGAAGAGATTCGTCGGCGAAGCCCCCCATCATGCACCGGGTTCTACCATCAGATACGAATGCGACAAAGGCTACATCTTCCTCGGCAATTCGCAGCGGGAATGCAACGAGAAGGGCGAATGGTCGGACACCTCGACTCCCTCGTGCACAGGTCAGCAGATTCTAGTAATTGTTCCGTTCTTCCTTTCAATTATCCTTCTTTGTCTCTGTTTTCAGTCTGCCGTTCCGTTTGGCCCGCCTGCATGCATTTACCCATCCCATTGTAACGACGCGGTGCAAAATAACCTCGGGAAGTTAAACTTGGTTAATATCAATTATATATAAATTTTTTGGAGCTGATTTACATCACGGCTGTGTTTGGATGCTAGATTACTCACTGATTAAGCATTAGACCTGTTGTCAAGGAAAGTAAATTGTAAACTTGTGGTGTTATGTTAACACCCATGGTTTTCATGTAGGAAGACGCTGAACTGTTGTTAATCCAAATGGTCACCGAGTATTTCAAATTTACAGCATAGTTTTTTGGGAGTACTTGAATTCAAAAAGTCAACTGTGTCAGCCAAACTGAAAAGCATCATGCCTATGTAGGAATTGTCATTTCCACGCATGGATTGTACGCTTGACTATGCCTCCATTACAAAAATCCTCTCAGAGATCAAGTGCGGTACCCTGAACGCTCCCGAGGACGGCAGTATGGAGGTGACTGAGAAAGGCGGCGTGATAAGCGCCACCTTCGAGTGCGACAAGGGCATGAAGCTGGAGGGGAGCGAGAAACGAACCTGCGCAGCGGACAACAGGTGGACTGGGGAGGAAACGAAATGCGTAGAGGGTAAATATTGAACGGAGGCGCGTCTGGGGCGTTTGGACTCTTGGCGATTTGCGCGGGCCCATCTTCAGACGGCTGAGGCCGTGTCCGAAATGGGCTTCGAGAGCTACGGCTAGGTCTATCGTCTGCGCGCCTCCACGCAATTCCAATGGAGCGAAGACCTAGACCTAGCTCTAGACAAGAGCTTGGGATGCAGCCTAAGTTCTTGACATCTGATCGGGTTCCTGATGCCCTGACCGTTACGACTGACATTTACACTCTCTGCACGGCAGTACACTGCACGCGCGTACACACCATACATACCTAGAGTAGACTTCTGAACAAAAAATGTCCACGTGGGGCAGGAAGGGAAGACGTTCTGTGGACTTACCCGTCTCCACAGGACGGTTCCTCTTCTATGAAGAATAAGTTATAAGAGGGATTTGGGGGCTAGGGTCGTAAACGGAAGAGGGACAGTTAATTAAGAAAACATGTTTCAAAAACCCACCTGAAAACGTGTTCATATTTCCAGAAAATTGAGCATTTTCACCGAGTTTTCTTACCGTAAGAAAACAAAGGAATGTCTAACACTAGGTACAGTAAACCTGTATGCGTGTGCAATCCAACTTGACCCCAACTGAGGTCACGGAAGCAAACAACTCCCGTGACAAGATGGCCTAATTTGCTAAAGAAGATTTTGTGAAGTTTTGCTTTCGATAATCATGACCAAGCCCCTACACCGACCAGGCAGTTTTCAACCAAGCAACCTTAAAAACGCCCAATACCTCCGCCAAGGGTGGATCAAAACCAATTTATAGGAGAGATTATTTTGTGGGTGCCCCAAACCGTAACTTTTTATGTATAACCTTTCATGCCCTAACCCGAATCTGAGGCTGCATTTTGAAGTTTTCTATGCGCAAATACGGAAAAGAAGTAGCTCAAGAAAGTGCTTTTTCGGCATTAATTTCAAAAGCAAATGCTTCTGGGTCGGGTGGCCTTCGTTACCCTCCTCCCGATCTGACAATGGGTGCTGTTAATTTAATATGTCTTGCCATCATTCTTATTCGTTTTTTGGACAGATGGCGGTGGCGGTAACACGGCTGTCATTGTCGTCGTGATCATCATCGTCATTATTGTCGTCTGCGTTGTTGGAGGAGGAGTCTACTATTACCTCAAAAAGGTCAGCCGAAATATCAGATTGACTACACAAAACAATTCATTAATCGCATTTATAATTTCCAGAGTCAATTTGGTCATTTCTGGTCTAACTTCAAAAGGTTTCCAAGACCTAAAAACAATCGCCGCAACTGAACAGTGACTCGATTGCAGTCCTCGGAAATAAGCAAGGAAGTACTTTTGGAGATGCTTAAATAGTTTTTTTTCCAACAAATGGAGGCGCTGTTGTTAATAGGAAGTCATTACTGTTCAAATGTGAACCCAAACATTGCCCATAGAATTTTTTGGAAAAAAACTTTCCTTGCCAGCTGACCGATAAGACAACAAAAGTTTACCTCGATTTGATATTTACAAGCTGGGAAAACAATATTTCAGAAGCAGCTGTAACTCTGTAGGATTTCTTCGGTGGACGACGACAACACACATTAACTCATAAATATGCAAATTTGCGCCTGCCAGATATTATCAAAAGGTACAAAAATGCCCTCATGGTGGTCAGCCATAAAATTGAAAATCATGTGATGTGCACGGGACACAAAAGAACATACTTAAACTTCCTTGAAAAGCTACAATGTATGTGCTCTTTCAACAGTGAATGAGACGGAACAATATTAGTCTCTTCTCACTAAATATCAAATTCCAGTGCTACAAAATATCTCTACTTCCCAACTTGTTAATTTAAGGGCGGTCTGATTCTCTAGTTCTTCATCGTTATCTTATGAAGGTGTGGCTTGCTTGAAAAGTTTTTTTTTTTACCGGGTGGACTTTCACCATTACTAATTTAGGTTTTCCCGGATAATGTCGCACTTTCTTCGAGCCATGAGCGTTAAAAACTCAAATCCCTAGTCTGTGTATACGACTTTCGCTAGTGGTGCTAGAGATAATGAGGGCGTCCTTTCGGAAGAGTCTGGGTGAAATAGGCACTGCTGAATTCCCGATCACTTTTTAATTATTGGGCACTGAAAAATCGCCTGGGTTGAATTTTAACCCAGGGGAGGGTGAAAACTGCAACAATAATATAGGTTAGGTTGTTTGAACCCAATGTGGGTGATTGAAATTAATTTCTGGTTCGTTTTAACCAAACAGTGATTAATATCCACTCAATTTGTGGGTGAAAAATAAAACAAAAAGTATTTCGCATCCCAAAATTGGGTTAACGCAGCCAGTATTTGGGTAGTTGCAGTGTTCATCCTTCCTTGGGTTAAAAAATGTAACTCAGGCAATTTTTCAGTGTGCGGACCAAATTCTGAACTACCCATGAAAAAAATCTTTTCCCCCATCTTCCCCCCCCCCTTGGCTGTCCAACAGAGACGGAGCTCGGAATCCAGGAGGGTGACGCGGCCGTCAGACAGCGCCTACAAACCCGTGGCGACCCCTGCCTCGGAGGGCAAGGACGTGGAGATGGGGGTCAAGAAGGATAAACCTGGGGACGAGGACAGCGACGTCAAGGACAAAGACAAGGAGGAGGGAGAAGAAACGAAGGCGCTGAAGGGCGAAGAAAAGGACTCCGATTAGGAGCCCGTTGTCAGTTTTTTAATTGCGAACGAGACAGCTCGTCATTTTGCGGAGTTGTATAGGCCTATCGTGTGTCGGGTTGATGTTGGACACCGGTGAAAATCGGCCAATCGTCAGATTGAAATTGGACAGCGTATTCTGAAAATAGATGAATAAATAAAAATTATCCTTGTCAGCTGATTCGGGGTTTTACGACAAAACGTATAATAAGTTGACAGATTATAAAAACGCTCTCTGTTGCGATTGACTAAGCAGTGACGCATTTGCTGGAGAACAAAGAGCAGACTATATGTAGACAAAAAAAAAGATTTTACAGAAGTGAGCAGAACCACCCCCTCAGCGGTTGAAAATAGCCACGGTGGCGGGGAGTGTTCAGTTTGTTGGTAGCCATGCGTGCGTTTTGTGGTCGATTGTGAACCATGCGAAGTTCAGTTCCTATCAAGGAGCCTTAGTCGCAAGAAAAGTACGCCTTTTCTTGGGCTGGCTTTGGGCTCAGTAGGTTTTTATTTGCCTTTTTTCAGCAACAATGTCTCAAGACACTAAACGCGCAGTGGTTGGGATTTTCATTGATATATGGGGGGAAATCAATCCTGACCAATTTATTGCGTCCATGAATATGTGACGCAACGAAGGTAAATTAGTTGTAATTGGACTTTCATTATAATTCTTTCTTTCTTAGGATTTGAGAATAGATGTCAGCAAAATGCTTTAGGCGTCCATTGGCCTCTTTGTTTAGTAGTTATCAAGCGGCCCTTTTGTGACAAATGAAACTTGGTTTTGCTAATTATCAATATTCAGTGTATTTGTAAATAGATTTGTTTCTTTTTCGCTCACCGCTGGGATTAGAAAACTCAATGTTATTCGTTTAAAAAAAAGGCAATGAAATAAGTGTTCCTTGATGGCAAGGCAGGCAATAAGGACTATTTTAAAACGTAACAAAGTAATATTAAAATGAAACAAAGAAGTAAAAAGAGGGAAAATGGGGATTTTGAGTCAGTGGGTCCCATTTGGCCATTGCTTCATGTCTATCCAGTATTGCTGCAGGGGTATGTCACCACCCAGTCCTGGAAAGCTACCCAAAACATGGTGAAGATTGGCACTATATCTTTCGCAATTATCTGTTGATGGTAGGCTACACTGACGTCATTGGCGAATTTTGGCTGGAGGCGAGTGGCTTGGTCATACTCCCACCTTTGACCTTCTCCTCTAAGTGGCGACAAGACTTGTTGGGTCATCTGACCAACATGGCCGGCCAGCCAAAATATTAATACCTGCCGGTGTGGATATATTATCGATATAATTCTCCTCTGTATCATTTTTTATGGCTCTTGCTGAGTTGCCCAGACTTCTTTGGTCCCTTTCATTTCGGTAAATCTAGAAAGTTAGTCGTATTGGCCGTTTGTCATTCGGCGACCTGTCGCACTGGTACTTTGTTATACTTGTCTTTTAATTCAATTCGATGGCTTTAGAATTGTAGAGGGATTTCGGCGCGCGATGTCTGTGTAGATAGCTTATGCAAAAACCATTGGCTATTTAAAAAAAAGTACACAGTGCAAATTCCGTTTTAATCTTGATCTCTTTCATATTTATCCGATACCTACTTTTTTAGCGCTTTTTGGTATCGACTGTGATTTCAAAAATGCGGTACCGATCTGAATGATGTTTGCTGTTATAGCTGATTGTTTCGATTTGCATGTTAAAATACTGCCAGAGTTCGCCGTTGTTAGGAATTTGTAATAATTATGGAGGACGGTATATTCCGAGATAAATTTTTAGAACATTGCTGTGAATGACAATTTTTGAATAGTAGAATGATTGTCACCTGCACGTTGTTTCTATGAACTTAAAATGGCCTATTTTGCAAAGTGTTGATTATGAAAGTGTTGATTATGGCTTAAATTGGCCTATTTCGCGAAGTGTTGATTATGATTATTCCCATAACACAATAATACTTTAGGTGTCATATCGTGCAATTCCAGTTTTAGAAATAACTAATGCATGGTATCGACGGGAAGTAAAATTCCTTAGCTTTGCACTGCCACCACTGTTGGGAAACCCTGTCTCGAAAATAACTTTGCTTGAGTATTGAGTTTGAATAATCTTGAGAATCAGTCAACACTACGTCCCCGGATGAGACCCTTCGTTCCCACGTCGGGCAGTTTAGATAGGTTAGCGTATTACTAGAAGGTTTTGAAACTAAGTGTGATTAAGTTAGGTTGAGTCGTATTCCTGTTTAAGGGTCTCAAGGTTTCTACACTAATCCATAGGAGTAGCTATCAAATAGGTACCAGTTGGGGTGATTAGTTAATATTATTAGGGTTTCAATTTTACAACTTATTGTATCGCGTTAAAACTCGTATCTCATATCTGGATACGTTTAATCCTATGACCTGATTGTGCGTTCAGTGGAAGAAGAATATATTGTTTTTATTAATTTGTGTGAAAAAATACGATAGACAGAAGTATGTTTTTCAATTCTTTGTATGAGCAACTGAGTCCCAGGAAAACCTAAATTTCAAAAGGGACCTATAGTGTTAAAAATATATATATAAATTGAGATGGAATGAAATTCTGAGTAAAGACACTAAATGAAGCGAGATAAACCTATGCTTGAAAACGGTCGAATTGTGTCTACCCCTCACACCCTACCTAAAATGTAAAGATATCGACTTAAACTTGTCATCCCCATCGATTCTTCCTGGGAAGCACATTGACCGAGACCAGCCAGATGGGTGGCGCGCCATTGAAAGACAGTAATAATGCGTGAAACTGGACAATTCCAGCTTATTCGGTTGTGCATTAATAATCGTGAAAGATTCAGTTTGTTGAGAAGTTCTTTGCGAGAAGGAGTTCCAATTGGCTTCTTCCAATTTCTCGTCACGTTTTCGCTTCACGTGGCAAGTTCGCGCGATTTGGGCTCTTAAAGGTCCATATTCAACTCTGTCACATGACTTTTTGATGTAATCATTAAATAGTCGGGAGGGGCAAACCTCGTTCGGGTGGGGGGGGTTGGAAGTGAACGACAAATCAGAAACAGTGCAGATAAAAGTCAAAAGTATGTTCACAGAAAACGGTGTTTCTATTCCTTGTCCTCTTTCCTTCCCATTTCACTTTTTGCTTTTTTTCAAGTTTTGTTTACCTTCCCCATATTTTTATACGACAGTGGCACTCGGCCCCCTTTGGAACCTCCTCCCCCCGGACGCTCTTAATTCTAAGTGCATAATGCCGCTGTAGCAACACAGACCGAATCAATCTGGTCTGTTGTGATTGCTCCAAACTCAGACAGCGCGCATTTTCAGGATGTCGAAAAAAAAAACGCATTTGGGAAATGGAAAAATCTCACGCCAAGACTGCTTGCATCTAAAAAAAAAAAGCTGCAAATTGTCATGTAGTTAATAGGAAAAGATAGAGGGGTGGGAGAATTTTTACCGAGCGCACTCAGAAAATGGATATTTATTTCCATTCTTCCGGCAATTCTTTTAAACAGACTGTTTTTAATCTTGCTTTTGAGCAAAATAGGACCGGTTCCGAATGCAGTTATATTAAATCCTTGACGATGAACGACGGGAACGATTCCAGACTCAGTTTAAACAAAGGACGAAAGCTTCCTCGTCTGGTGCATAAACAGCCAAATATATGTATCAGACAACAAACCCAGTTGTAGCTTTGAAAGCATGGGCGTCGCGAGTGGAGGGCAAAAAGGGGCATTTGCCCCCCCCCCCTTGAAAAAATGGGGAACATTACAAATAACGTTGGAAAAAAGTAAATACAAATAAGAGAAGAAATGGGATGGAAGTCACGGATTTTAAACATATTGCCCCTCTGCTCTTTCATTTCACCACTAGACCTAGCTATCCCTATGGAAATTCCCAAACTAACGGGAAAATATGGTCCCCCCCCCTGGAAGTATCCTGGAGACGCCCATGTTTGGAAGCCTTTTTTCGGACGTGACCTAACTTACGAGCTTGAATTCACGATTGCTGTCATTTTTTTATTGTTTAGGAATCATTGAATCACACACGCGGGATGTTGCCCTTTACTGAGACTCACACTCCCAAGTTTGGCTATGAGGGCGTGCTTTCTGAACGCCACTAGTTGCTGCTCGCCTGGCTTCTTCAAAATAGTGTTATAAATAATTTACGACATCCCGTTCTATTGACCAAGGTGGCACCCCCCGCAAAGTCTCAATACATCCAATGCGCGATTTGCGTGCGCGGTTCAACCAGGACGGGTCAGCAAACACAAGGCCCGATAAAAGCCGCGCAAAGCCCGCCCAAATAATGCTTGCCGTTAATATTCAACCACGTTCAAACAGCACGTCATGCCAAAAGAATGAGCTGGCGTATACTTGAAAAATAAGGGTGTGAAAACCGTGTGATGCGTGTAATTCCTAAGCCGTTGCATGGAGGCCATTAGCTAACGCGTACCAATGGACGGCAGGTGGTAATAATGTTTTGAATACAATGACTCAGTTTTCTTGTTTCTTAGATTTGGGGTCCTTTTTTACACAAAACATTAAGCTTGTTCAGTGTTTCTGAGACTGAGAGCAAGCGCTGTCAAATCGCACATTTATTTTTTATTTTTCTTGTTTTCGGTGGTTTTATTTTCTCTCTGCTTTGGGCTCCTTTACTGCTAAACTCTGTTTATATTTTGACCAGTGTGCATTGCGATGCGTTCCTGCTTAACGTGCGATCGCTTTTATAACACACCATAAACAGTTATCACTTTGACAAGTTCTGTAGCACAAGGTAGTTTCACCATAGCTCCGTGGTTTAACTCTATAAAATCCGTCCAAGTTCCCAAAAGACTCAAGTGGGAGAATTATTCCCGCTTGAATATATACCAGATTTCGGCATTGCTTGTATAGTTAGAGAAGGACTTGTCTTCTGCTTGACATTGTATAATTTCTAAAATGTGATCTCCGGAATCTTCAAGCCAGGGTGTAATTAGGAAAAGAAGAGGTGATCTGAAGAGTCGAGACAGGGAGAGTACCACTCTCAGATTGGTTGCAATGGGAACTCTTCAGCTTACGCTCGGGCTGAACGGGGAGCAATGCTCGCTTGAATTCTGTGTCTAACGCATTTGTGTTTCATCGGTCTTTTTGTCCAGTCGGGAAACTTGTCTACATGCATTAAGTCCCCTAGACATCATTTGGAATGTTTATATAATGTGAACGGTGTTTTGTTATTTTGCGTAACTTAGTCGGTTGTCGTGTGGTTCCGGTGACAGAGATTTTGTCTGGTGGACAGGATCCGAAGGCAAAGGCCTGTCAAGAGCGAAGGAGACAATGGGTCATTCCCTCCCCCGAAGAGCATTTTTATAAATGTGCCAAGGGCGATTCCTTGATCGGCTTCCTTCTCCTCCCAAAGTTGTGTAAAAACACCGAAATGTCACCTCAACCATCAGAAAAACCTCAAAAGATCACACAAATCAATTTCCTAAATGTTTGCCTCCCTTTAAAAAATGCCCCTACCCAAGATAATTTGGTTCTGGATTCGCCCTTGAGGCGGGTGCGTGATATTGTGAACTTGGAGAGATCGGCATCAAGCAATAACATTGACTCAGAAACAAGCAAAATGCATTCACGATGAATCAATTAATGTGTCAGGTTATTTTAAACGTCTGCACACGGGCCAACCAGACGATTTCCAGTAACTGCCATGGATTGTACTTAATCTACGGTTAATCATTAACACAAAATACCAAGCGAAGATATCTCTCCCCTTCAGACCGGACTTTGGAACTATTTCCCGTGGTTGTAGTGTGCGTGTAGTCGGTCGCCTATTGCAAAGTATACAACCGGGTCAAAATAGTAGCGTCGGTTACAGTGTACAGGGCGGAATTTAGTGCGACAGACCGCCGCCATATTGGATTTTTGCTTGGATGTTTTATTAACTCAAAATGGAGGCTAGACACCTGGTGTGGGCCGCAGTCCTGCTTTTTGTCATCCTAGCAGTGGTGGAAGCGCAACCCCCTCCCATATACACGCAACAAGGTACGTTTCTTTTCACGTCATAAAAATCCTACAGCAACGCAATTAACAAAGCTCAGGACACCTGCTCTGAAAGGACCAGGCACTGACGGATACAGTTAAGGTTGTAACAGTGATTTCTTGGAGAGCCCTTCTCACGAGATGGGCTATGCATGTTGTGATCCCTGGCCCGGATGGTTAAACCCAATTAATCTACATTTTCTCTTGTTTTGACTAGATGAAACGTATTTACATCACGGACAGGCTATCATCAGACAGTTTGTCTCTATCGTGAATCAAAGCGAGAGGTGATAATTGATGAAGTCGGTGAAGGTCTCGTGTTTATTAAGACCTTGGGAAGTCTGGGTTGAATCCTGCCCCTCCAATAGTTCACCCCCCCCCACCCATACGACTACTACGTTAACGTACTTCATATTGCTGCCGGACTATTGTTGGTGTGTAGCATAAAGTCAACCTTTCTCTGATTGAAACGCAACGTTCATATCCATACACCTCCATTCCGCACACCGGAAAGTCCTTCTTTGACACGGGATGCTGATTGTTTTTAACTCTGACATTTTCATCGGTTATGCATAGAGAAAGGGTGTGTTTCTGTGGATAGTAGTGTAACTTGCGGACTGCAATGACGTCACTGTTTTTTTTTTCCCAATCAAGCAGTCACTGGATGTGTACAAGTATAATGAAGATTTCTAAACGCATAAGGTACATGTAATGAAAGAAAAACAAAACATGCACCATCGAAGAAACGTGTCACCGCACCGCTTACATCTGATGAGGTTGAAAGACCCTAGCCCCGAGGGGAAAAAAATCAATAAAAACTAAAACTGAAATAAGCTATAAAAATCAAAAACTAAAAGAAACAAAAACAAAACAGATACACCCCCTGGGGGCTATAGAATAAATAACTACTGCGCTGTAACACTAAGTGTTAAGCACCTTCCTTGTAATGCTTTATGAACGTCTTGTGGTGTTCATTATCGGCAGCTAAACACATCGTTCCAGAAACCAGTAGGTCCACTGATGATATTCAGATAACTTAATATTATGCAGACTCCAAAAAGACTAGCATTGACCATGTTTGATTCGATATTTCGTTCTTTATTCGGAACATCATCAAGGAGATGTTCTAAGTTAGTCTTTTTGGAGTATGCATACACGTCGTGGTGTTTCTTCTTTAAGCAACACGTGTTGATGTGTTAATAAAGTTAGACACAATGACACATTTGGGTGTTTATGACAAATACAAAAACACGTTTATAGAGTGGGAACACTTTCTCAACACCGAAACAAGTTTATTTCTGAAAGGGTGTTTACTTTCAAACGGTTACGTGTTTTCGATTGACGCAAAAACGCGTTTATTTTGGGCCTTGGTTATTACAATGAAAGAAATCTGTAACAAAGAGACATTTTTAATTCTAAGAATTATATTCCAATGCAGCTGAGACAAACTGCTGTATAAAATTATGTTTGACACAACAAACATTTAGATTGTTGATAGTACTTTGACTTTGCACTGAAAATAATTTTACATTTTATGTTGAGTTTTGCCTTTGTACAGATAATACATACAGAAGCTTGCACGCCAAAGATTTACATTTTTTCAGTTTAATTGTTTTTTCTTTAAACGGTTGATGGAAATCAGATCATAGGACCGCAGAATAAACAACTTGAATTCCTTTCACTTTAATGAAATTGTTTTTTTGTTTTTTGTTTGTTTGTTTTTTCATTTCGCACGACGTACTTCGCTGCGTCCACCTAAAGCATTGCAAAATGTTTTCGACATTTCGTCAACGTAGAAACCAGTTTTAGTGGATTTGACAAAGTGTTTCTCACTGTTTATCTCCGAGTCTCCGTACCGTATGCCCCACTTTTTCTCACGTTTTCACGGTGGGAAGAAAGATAAGGCTGATTGTGAAGAAATTGTCCAACCTTCCGACGACCAAAATGTACTTAATAGAACTCCGAAGGGGAGAACAATTATTCAAAGCCGTTAAGACGTCGGTATGATGTCAGATTCTGCAGCAGTGTAATACATATTAGGCCCTACAGCTGTATTATGAACATCGCTCCCTAGTGATAGTGTCAGCACCCCTCATCCCACTTTTCAAATTTCCATGGCCGGGAAAGTCACCCCCCACAATCCCCCATCCCTCCAGTTCCCGACACAAATGTAAGCCACTGATTACAGGCGTTTTCTTCAGCCACGTGCGGTACCCTGCCCTATGGGACCATTTCTTGAAAAGCGAATTACGATCTGCCAAGTAATTTTTTTAAAGTTTTGACCGAAAAGTTTAATCACTTGTGTGCTTTTTCATTTATGCTTTCATCGTCCTTTATTGACGGGGAGAATTGGCTGTCGCATACTTTCATTATTTTTATATTTACACCAGTTTCTGTCAAAAGATAAAAAGTTGTACAATTAAAATTTTGTGAAGGTTATTGACTCAGCTGAATTACTGCCGCGGGTGGTACAAGCAAAGTTTCCAACGGTCCCACTCAGGCTGGAAGAGCCAATGCATTTTTAAACAAGGTCTTCACTTTTCTGAGTTGTTCACGGTTTAACTTCTTCGACCTCCTGTCCAGGACTATTCCGTTATGGTTTGGACAACCGGGACACCAGACTAACGAAAGGGAACGACATCAGCTCCCTGCCCCTGCGGCTAAGATGGGGCCTCCCGTTCTACAACAAGAAATATTGGAGCATTTACGTGAGTACTCTACATAAATGGTGCCTGCTTTCTACTTGTTTCTACTCTGTTTTGCTTGCTAATTGTCCTTGTTTCGTTTTTTCCCTTATTCTGCTAATTACACAATATTCAAACATTGTCTCATGGTGTTATATTAATTTCATAAATTAACATGAATGGCTTAATCTATCTGTTAACAGATAAACGACAACGGCGTTCTGTCGTTTGACAATGCCTTCAACGACCACTCGGAGCAGCAGAACCCTTTCCCGGTTGGACCCATTCCAGCCAATACTCCGGTAAGGACTTTTCTCTACCAAAAGCAGACAGAAGCAACCCGAACAACATCAGAAACACAGAAACACAAGCAGCAGACAACGGAGACGAAAATGAAATGCCACAACAAATGCAGTTTCAAAGTGTCTGACACTTTTCTGATTTTCTCCAATTTGTGAAACAATATAAAACGAATATTTTGTTTTAAGTCTTGTTTTTGGCCAGGCCTAACCGAAAGCAGACGTCGTACTATTGTCACACTTCGCGAAATTATTTTTTTTACCTGTCACCCGTCCCCTACCCTATACCTAACTTTATACTTTACCATCAACCACCCTACATACTCAGTACCAAATCACCAAAATGCAAACTAAATTCCGTGACGGCGATACCAACATTCACAAAAGTGGCAACAAAGCCACCGGTTACTTCAGTTCCCAAAGTGCCACCTGGAGCGAAAGCAGCTCAGGGAAATGCCACCGTGATCTTCCTCCCTGCAGGGCGAAGTGCCAACTCAGAGGATACTGATCGCTCCGTTCTTCGCCAACGTGGATATCACCCAGAGCGGGCAGATCTACTACCGCCAGAGCACAGAGAAGGACCTGATGGACAGGTGCAACGCCGCCATCCGCCAGCACTTCATCAAATTTGCTGATTTCCAGACCAAGTTCATGGTTATTGCAACCTGGGTGGGAGTCGGCTTCAGGGGGTACAGCGGCGGTTCTGCCCCGGTAAGAAATGTTTCCTTTATCGGTTTGAGATTTGCACGCAGGACGTAGTAAACAAGACGGGGGTTGCGGTTACACCATCTATCTCTTGGGAGTGGGTGTGGCTACGAAGCAGAACCGTTGGACTGGACGTTTTGGTCAGTAAAATGTGGTTTGCCCGTCGTCGGGAGATTGCTGGTTCCAATCGACCGCTGCGAAGCTGCCATCAGCCAGAAGGTTATCCACACCCTGTCCACGTTTAGGCCATTTTTGATTTTATTCCCTAAATCTGTTTTAAATAATTGCAAACTGTCGATTAGGATGGCACCAGACTGTTTTATACTTGCGTGCGTTCCAAGCCTCCCTTTCAATAACTTTCAGAATCAGGCAATGTACAATTCTATGTGCTCAATCATGAATTTGAAATTATTTATCAGAGTAGACAGGTGCAAATTTGTCATGCAATTTCATTTTATTGCTTCATTTGTACTCTCAACATTCAAAAATGAAGAGTTAACCTCGCTTTCAAATTCAACATGGCTGGCCCCGTGAATGAAGTCCATTCTTGACAGTCCCAGACGTTGAGTCTAGCGGCTCTTTTCAGGACCCCACTCACTCACTCACACACATCAGGGGGAAATGTGTCCTTATGCTTACGAGTGTATTCGAGGAACAACCTTTTACTGTCTGAGTAGCAACCCTTTACGGTGTGTGCTGCGTCAATTACTAGCGAGACGGCGGGGGACGCGACTGAACCAGAGCCAACTGAACACATGGACGTTTCTAGTGGGCGCATGTTACATTCCTTGCCTGCTAATGGACGAACGAGGGGACAATGTGTCTCTTGTTCTCGGTAGAAAACATTACTGCGGATGTGCCTTTTTCTCGCGCGCAGTGTGTTCTTCGTTGACTGATACGGGTATGTGATTGGGCGCTCCCACTGACCCACGTGACTCGACGTACTTGTACTATTGTTGGTGGAGAAGGCCGCAGTGCCGTTTACTGTATTCCGTACTTTAGCGAAGTGGCACAATTTCAATTCGAAATGATTCTTTAATTTCGTATCAATCATGGAAAAACGTTTGACAAAAAGCGGGGTCTCTGTGTTTCTCTATTTTCAAGAAGTGACAAAAGGTCACCTCGTTAGCAGGGTAAAACATAGAAAATACAATGTGGTGTAAGAATCAGGATATGAGTGCATGCATGCACACGAACGATGTTGAACATGATCACTTGGAATGCAACTTTTTTTCATGTGCGTATTATGTTTTCACGAAATTAAAAAAAAAAGTGTAGGATATAATAGGAACAAAATGAAAATCTCCTGGTTTTGCTATTTTCACAGAGTGAAAAAGAAATAGCAACACATGTAAATACAGGTAATTGCTGTTTCCTTAAAACAACATTCTTGGAACTGATCGTGGATTAGTTTTTTAAAACGTGTACTTTACATGACTGTGTACAAAACTTCTGACTCTACTTTCTGAAATGGGGAGTATTTTCAAAAATGGTTATTGTAAAGTGTCTTTTCTGCATGATTTGGGAGGTTTTGTCACTTTGTAAAAAACCAACGATTGCTCTACATGACAGCTATCAGAGCACTAACAAATGGACAAAGCAGGCACGTAGGAACCGGGGCCCAGGGAGCTAGTAGCTCTACCCCCCCCCCCGAAAATATGTTGGGGGCTGGGCCCCCTAAACAAGTTCTGTAATTTGCATTCTTGGAGTGGAGAGTATTTGTGGCAGTGTGTTGGTAACATTTTAGAGAGATTCTAATGTTTTGCCCCCCCCTATAATCATCTTCCTACGTACCTGGCAGGTGTGGGAAAACCGAGGGTAATTATCCACTGCAGGATTGGTACGAAAGCAACCTTTCTTTGTGACGACAATTTTGCTTGAAAATGAGCAGTACTGTCCAGTTTGCAGTGTCCGACATATATAACCAAACATTTTTGCCTCCTGCAATGGTGACCGATCTCAGGAATCCTTGTTACGTGGCTCCTCGCCATCTTTTGATTGGACCCTATGTTTGAGTCCAGTGACGCGCGTCATGCTGAGGGACTTGCTAAACGACCGTTTAAGGGAACCCCTGGCCAACCCTTCATCTGATTGGCTGAATGACCAGCTAATCAAACGACTGACCGACAAGGCAATACGCTAGGTGAAAGAACGATCAGCGGCAGATGCTAGACCGTCTAAAATAATTGGGTTCGTCGTTACACAACCATTTATGGCGAAGCGTTAACTCATTAATGACTGTTTCTTGCAGGCGAATACATTCCAGGTTGTCTTGGCAACCGACGAGTTCGAAACGTTCGCCTTCTTCCGATACGAAACCATCCAGTGGACCACGGGTACAGAAAGTGGAGGCTCTGCCAGCACCGGTACCGGTGGCAAAGCTGCGATTGTAAGTTCCTTTTTTATTGATTTATTTATTTTAATTTATATTTCAATTCAACTTTCTGCAATTTATCTGGCCTTCAATGTACTGGATTTGGCAATACAACCCCATTGAGCCTATAGACCCTGCCGTGCAGCAATGGAGGAAGAGGCCTTTGTTTTGTTTGCAAACATTTCCAGACTGTCTGTGTGGGCGGCCAAAGTTTGCAGAAGACTCTCACTCGGTTACCAAGAGGTTTTGCCTAAAAATGCTCACTCAAAAGCGTTCTGTTGACCATCAGTCCTATGACGATGTTGTCTCTTTTTCAGATGGGTTTCAACGCCGGGAACGGGGAGAATTACTACACTCAGCAGGAGTACAGCGGCCAGTCCGACCCGCTCAAGACTCTGCCCCAGAATACCAATAACGACGAGACGGGCATGTTCATGTACCAGATCAGCCGCATCACTGTGCAGTATCCACTCTGCAAACAAGGTAACGACTGGCTTTCCCTCGTTGACCCGAAGAGTGTAGTCCACTGATTCGGGCCCCGTTGAAAACAGTGTACAATCAGCATTGTTCGGGGTCCAATAATATGCGCACCAACATCCCTGAGGCATCTGGAACACACGTTAAATTAATGTAGGGTCATAATCTTTCATTTTCTTTTCAATTGTCCGTGGGTTAACCGATTACATTTTAAGTTATTCCCTCAGAAAAAANTGGGGCACTTAGAACCATTTTTTCAACAGTATCTTTTAGTCATTCTGCTCTCAGATGAAAGCCCAAAGACCCAGGAAATTGATTCTGGCAGAGATTTACACTATCTCACCATTTTGGGGGGCCATACAATCTCTTTTTTTTCAAATGATACTGTGGGGGGCACTTTTAATGCTAATGAGCTGGCGAGAAATTCTTGCTTGAATTAGAGGACTGCACCCGAACGGCTCCCGTAGGGAGTTACCACGCGCGTCTATGGTAGATGGCTGTATAGCCTCATACCAGCACCTTCCATAGGCGGACGTGTTATTTCTAGCGGCAGCTACAACTTCCGAACTTGGCCTTGCTTCTGTTCCCCGATTCTCGTGTTTCCCATTGGACGCAGTGCATTGTGTAATTGCCTTCTGGCCTGCAGTTCTTTGACCGGCCGTAGTTCTGAATTACGTGACCACAATTGGCATTTTGGAGGGCAGGAATTTTAAGTATTGGCCCTGAGAGAAGCCAGTGGTGGGATGGAAGTCCTGGACATCTCCAACTGCATGTGGTCTGTTAGAAATACTTTCAGTAGAAACTTGAGAAGCCAAAATTTTAATTTTTCTTCTGCCTTGTCCTTACCCTCTCTTGACTGAAAATGGACCCTCCTCCGAACATGGAACAATGCAACTTTTAAAACAATCAGAGGACATGCGGGCCCGACTGTGTGCGAGAAGCAGACGTAAACATGTAGGTTCCAGGGACATTAGAAATAGCGTATTACTTACCCTCTCGTTCAACCATAGGCCTATGTTCAAAAGATGGACCCCATTGAATCTCAAAAGCTCACATCTCTATCAATTAAGTGGTTTGTACCTTCCTAAGGGGTCGTCCGGACCTTCCCTCTCTTCGATTCCATGCTGGGTCATTCCTGGTTCTTCTTGGCCGGCCCGTGCTTTGACCGCACCCGGGAGCACTGGGTGCTCTTCGGCGACGTGGACAACCCCAAGGCTGTCCAGAACTGCACCTACCACTCCAAGTGGATGGTCTACTGTTTCACGCCCACCTTGTTCGAGGTAGGCCACATGGACATCGCGCTGTCTACCGACGACGGCTTGACCTGGCCCCACAAGGGCGAGTTTGACGTGGGTGAGTGGCTGTCAGCGGTACCAGGCAAACACAGATCCTCTGCTCGTGTATAAATTCCATTACGTGTTCAAATCTGAATTTGTATCCTGAAGCAAATTAGCGGATGCAATGGTCTTAAAAACATTCGAAACATTCTACGTTCTACATCAGCTAATCAATCACCATCACTTGTTTCTTCTCTCAGTGAAAATTGGTGACACACCACAGCGGGTGACCCGCATAAATCCCGACAGCGAGGCCTGGCTGCGCGCCGACCGTCCCGTTACCATCGAGTGGGACCCCAGGCTCATTAACTTTACCCAGGTCCGCATCGACGTGCTGGCGTACACCGAGACCATAGACCCCGACACGGGACTGCCGGGCCCGCCCAATTGGGAAGAGATAGACGAGGTACGTTCGCACCTGCATGTTGTCAGAATTGTACCCAAACAACCTGTAGGCCTACTCCCGAGCATCTTGACAAAATTAAACAGATGATGAAATGGTGGCTGTTGAATGGTCCAGTGGCGTGAAGGGGGAGAGTATTAGGGTAGCGGTTCTTCCCTCGCTTTGCACCAATGATGCCCGGGTTCGAGTCCCAGCTTGGCCTATGCTTTAAGTGCATTTGGCTTCCAATCCACGCTCGCTGTCGCAGGTTTTCTCCGGGTACTCCGGTTTCCTCCTGCCTCTAAAACTGGACCTTCTTCCTAACTCCGCGATGTGATGCTGATTTAATAAAGGTTACAAATAAACGTACAGTTGTTGTCACAAATAACCTGAGTTGCTGAAAGCGCCATTAAAACAAATTAATAGCAATAACAACGACAACAGTGGTGTGAATTCCACCCCGGTGTTCAAATTCACTACTTGGACTTGGACTGCTGTTTTATTGTGGGGTATGATTTTGAACACGCAAGGGATTCATGGTAGCTAATTCAAAACCGCGGGTATTACGGGTCCTCTATGGAAGATGACAAATACAATCATCGCTGTGACGTTGCAACATGCAGCCTAATACTGAATCGTTCGCCAGGTCGCTACTTAGGTCATTAAGATGAAAGTGCCATAGGTGGTAACAAACCCCTGAAATTTCGTTAGCTGTTTCTGCAGTACTGTGTGGACTGTGAATCAGGGCAATATGCGTTTTTATTACCCAGTCAGGTGATTGTTCTTGGCCAATATTATCTGTGTGCTAGGTTTCTTGGGGACTGCTAAAGTATACGACGAAGAGAGAAAAAATAATCCTTTCACTGATGAGAGAGCATTCGTGACTTTGTGTGCATAAATATCGGCTGTGGCCCATCCATTGCAATGAACCCACTGACCTTTGTCCGCCCAGGTTTCGTACACGGTGCCCAACACCGGCCGGTACACGTGGATTTCGCGAGCCGTGTTCCAGGTGAACGACAGGAACTGCATCGGTGTCATCCGGGTCACTCGGCGCTTCAAACGGTAGGTCGCGGTCACTAGGGCGTCCAACAAATATCAGCTGACAAAACTGAACAATCTGCTGGTCTTTTTTCCTCTCAGATTAATTAAAAGGGCACTTTATTCGTTATGTTTTTACGGGGTATCAAACAGTGAAGCGAGGTAGGAAGCTTCATACACGACGGTGCAGATTCTTGTAACCAAACAGTGAGCGCCTCGCCTCCTGCACTTTTTTTAAGTTTCCTGGTAAGGTTTAGCTCAACATGGAGAGAGAGTCATATAGTTTCCTGCCCTTCACAGGTCGGAAACATGACCACATGATTTCTTGCCCCTTTTCCTACCATTTTCGGTTCATGGCTCAATCCATAATCTGGGACGAATCCAGAGACTCACGGAAACGCTGTCTATGGTCATTTGCAGTGGTCCCGCAGGTGGCAGCTGGCACTGTGCTCAACTTTGTACAGAGCCGCCGCTCCGCGACAGTCGATCCTTACAAAACACGACACATTCAAGGGGACCATGGCAAATCCAAGAAAACATGTCGCTGGATTCGTCCGTCCCACGCTGATCTTTGTTGACAACAGCGGTTAACGATTCTCCCCTCTGTGAAGTTCCCTTTCTTGAGAACTTCGCCAAACTTGACCTGAATCAACCAATCCAATTTGTTTTGTGTGTGTGTGTGTTGCGCACAGTGACGACTTGGCCCTTTGGAGCGACCTTCACTTCCTGGGCTACATCATGAACGACAAGTTCCAGAACGACCCTGCCACCTACGCCAACCTCCGCTGCGACGAGTTCTACAAGCGAGAGGTCGAAGGCAACTATGCGGAGGATCTGCTCAACAACCTCCGGCCCTGCCCCTGCAACCTGACCCAGGCCCTGGCTGACAGGGGCCGCTTTAAGCCCGACCCTATGTGTAACATGGACGACGCCGTGCAGGACCGCACGCAGGAGTACTGCCGCTTCCGGGATGACGTAGTACACTGCGTCACCAGCATCGTTCCTTCGTGAGTATGGTCCTTTTGAGTATTTCGACAAGGAGAGTTAGGGACCATTACTGTCGTGGCACGGCGCTGATGGACAGGTATTGCGTTCGCGTTTAATGCCTCTTTTACCAGTAGGGTGCAGTGACTTCAAGCACATCAAGCTTAAAGAAGGGGGCGCCATAAGCCATTGTGAGTTAAATTTGAATAAAATCTGGTACACTGAGTTCTTTAAGTTCACGTGAACATAACAACTTGAATTCTCCCTACTAAAACCACTGTTGCTATACCTCGTGATTCGGGGCAAGCTTTTGCTTAGTTACATAAGAGACGCCTTTCAACAATACACTGTTCTCAATGGACAGGAACGGCACAAAGGAACCAGTCCATTCCAGAGATGGCGGTCGCTATGCGAAAGCTTGCCCCGAATCACGAGGTATAGCAACAGTGTCTTTAGTCTGGGGAATTCAAATTGTTACGTTTTTAAGCAATCAGATCACACAGTGTGCCAGATTTTAATCAAATTTAAGTCCGAAATGGCTTATTGGTCTACATGGGTGGTCCGTTAAATACATGCCCATGAAATGTTGACTTTAAAGGCACCTTTTCATACATATATGTACTTTTTTTGGGGGGTGAGTTGCGTAGGCCCACACGATGCGTTCATGCATGTCATTCTCATTGGTCGAGTTCGGGCGGCCTCTTCTTGACACGGGTTTTGTGTTTTCGCGCTCGATTTTACACCAGCACACGAAAACAACTCGTGAGATTTTGATTTTTGAACAGCCGCAAAGGCTGACTTCGGGCACCTTGTTCTCGTATGTTCGCGAACAGCTTGATTTGTTGGTCTTGGGTTGGCCGCTCAAACGCCGGAAACGTACATTTGGTCATCACTGGTAGTTAGTGACAAGCAACATGCAACATGGCGGCGTCCATACACATTATTCGAGAATTAACGCATGGATAACTGGGCTGAATTCTTTTCTATTTAAACAGGAAAATTCACCTCTGTGTTATGGAAAATAATTAATGTTAATTTTGCAAAACTTCCTGTTGTCTCCGGCTTTATAAGCCATCTCTCTATTTTTTGCAGCTGTTCAAAAAATCAAAATCTCACGAAATTTTCCGTGTGTTCCTATGAAACCATGACGAGGAGGTGGCGTGTGATCCTGTTCCGAGAACGTTGTTCTTGAGTCGCCGTTTTGTCGGCATTTGAGTGCGACAACAAGAAACCCGTGTCAAGAACACGCCGCCCGAGCTTGACCATTAACACAACACATGTGTTTAGTGTTTGGCCGTCAAAATCGACCGTGGAGCGATGTTGACGGATACGCAACGCCTTGCGCAACTGTTGACGCGCATATGGACAGGCACCCTGATAACAGCCTCCTCATCTGTGCGCATGGCATCCGTAGTGACTCCCAATCCATTTCCCTGTACGCACACGCGTTCCATATTGCTCGCTGACGTGCCAAACCTGCAGTGTTGACTGTGATAAGATCAACCTGGTGGGTTAATGTTCCACAACGAGGTTTGATGGAGAAACAGCATCAATTTCATTTCAGTTTAACTGTAGAAATGTAGTGTTCCGAGTATCTCCCGTGTCACATCCCCACCCCGTACGCAAGATGTCAACAACCTCCCTCCTTCTTCCTTGTCGTCCGTGCCTAGGCCTACTTTATAGACTACCCCACAGATTGATCGATCAAGATGTGGGGCAGGGTGGCCCGGGTTGATCTTCACTATCAGTTGAGATCAATTCTGTGGAAATCATCGAGTTATTATTCTTCCGCTTCTTCGAACAGTCTTCCACAGTCGTGAACCAGAGGGCAGAGCAAGGGTGACAGGATCGTGTGCTATAAAAGATAGACCAAAAGCGTAGAAATCGACCGATTTATTGGTTGATAAAGCTACTGCTCTACACTTTATTTCATGTCACTACTTACAACAAGTGTTTTTCTTCCAAGGCTGTTGTATATTCGGTAATGAAAGACAACTCTTTGCTTCACCCACAAAGTAATTTCGCAAAGGAATCTAAAGTATTCTGGGTGGCTTCCTCGCTTTTGCCCCGACACAGATCCACGGGCTACGACTCGACGTGCTGCTATGATGAGTTTGAGAATCTGGTCTACGCCGGAGACAGCTCCTCCGGAAGCTTCTCTCGGAGGGTCACGATTGAGGGCATCCCGCCCTACAACGAACCCCAGAAGGTATATTGTCGTAGTACCTAGGAGCTCTGAAAGTGCCATCCGAGTTGTTTAGATCTGGACATAATTAGAGACAGGGTGTTTGAAAGTAATTGGAACTTTAAATGAGAATGCCCAGAAATTAGGGATACATTAGCATATACTTTCAAGACGTCATTATGCACAATTACCTGCCTCAGGATGTTGTCGTCTTAGGATGTCATCACTCTGTAATCTCTCATCGTCCTATGTCCGGATCTAAACAAGTCAGATAGACTTTAGACTAGACTACAGACACAAATAGAGCTCCCTACACTTGTTAGGTGCGCAGTCTGTAATTTGAAGTCGTGGCAATTAAATTCCACCATTACCTATGACACTATGCCTAGGGCCTACGAATATTTTAAGATGGGAACCTAGAAAATATTCGAGGACCCATAAGAAATTGTTGTCGGTATGCCATAAATACAAAAACTAAAATCGAGTATTATTAGAAAATGTTCGGCGTCTCTCTCTCTCTCTCTCTCTGAATACAGCGATTCACAACAGTGCGCCTCCAAAAGTTTACAACGCGTTGGCCAGTCACAACGCGCGAAATCTGTCGAGCCTCTCCAAACGCACATTTCGTTGACAGATTTCACGCATTTTGATTGGCCAATGCCTGGAACTCTTGGGGGCGCGCTACTGTGAAACGCCCGTATAATCTCGATTTTGAAAATAGCTTCAGACTGGTCTTTTCAACACATCAACACCAAAAGGAGGCCCAAGCACCAACCATGAACTGGGAGGTGTAGGGTCATCGCTATTCTGGTGCCTGGGGCACATGGCAGACTTAATCCGGCCCAGTTAACAATCATAAACATTCCCAGTAAGCATGCACACGGATGTCTCAGCACAGAAATACCTTGCATGGCAACGGCTACCCACCAGTAATCTTATAATATTGTAACAGTTAAAATAGTTTTTTTCAGGCAGATACATGCTGCCAGGTTTTCGTCGGTCATGTCGGGTTCTAACTGCATCAGATTCAGGGTTGTCAACAAAGACTAACACATCTGTGTACAACACAGGTACCCCAGCTGTCCTCGGGCATAGCCGACCTCGCCCCTTACTACATGTGCTGCATATGGGGCGACCATTGTGACTATTATCAGGAGGTTAGGCCGACACGCGACTGTCGCTGGTACCGTTCAGTTCGTCCAGGTAGGTAAACCGATTGAGAGGAATGTATACACATTTCATTGGTTTTTCTTTCACTTGGTGCCTTTTCACGTATCACGTATGCATTGTTTCAAAAGTGAGCAAGTTGCGTGAAGAATTGCATAGCCGTAATGGATGAGAGTGCTATCAAATCGAGTGGACATCACTGCCAGTCGTTTTGTTTGTGCAAGTTTGTCCACCTCTTTGAGCCATGTAGGAATCAGGGTTATTACTTTAAATTCACAGTGTTTGCAACCAAATCTCTGACATGTTGGGGCTGGAGAGTTAAGGCCAGTTCACACTTGGCGCGAAAGCGAACACGGACGCGATTCTGTGACTACATATCAAACTGTCGCGTCACGAATTCGCCAAAGTTGGACATATTTCAACTCAAGCCAATTTCGCTGCAAACAGTCATTTCGTGCCGCTCAGTATCAAATTCGCTGGGTTTGGCATTCAGCTAAGTATAGGCCTGTGGACCGGCCTCGAATACACCTGACTGCCCCGTTTGCTGTTTACCGCAGCCTCCGTGTTTGGAGACCCTCACTTTGGGACGTTCGACGGCGTCATATACACCTTCAACGCCAAGGGCGAGTACGTGCTGATGGAGACCACCGAGCAATCACAGACCAAGTTCCAGCTGCAAGGCCGCTTCGAGCAGATCCAAGACCGAAACGGTATGGTGACCACCGACTTCATTCCCCGGTGTCAGTTCATTCGTCTTCGCCACTGTGGCTGGATATAGTTGACTGGAGGCACCGAGTCTAGGAATTTTTAACAAAGTTTCCCCGTAGATAAAAATCATTTAAAAGGGCTGATCAAGAAGGGGTGGTAAACATCACTCCATCCACATGATGATTATCAGTAAACAGTTTAGTAGAGCTCTACTTTCTTTGCCTTAAACTGCCATTAAACTCTGCCAGGTAAAGCTTTTTCATTTGATATTCCAACAACTCTTTCACTAGTCACTTATCAAAGATATTTTCTCCGGAATAAAAACCGTATTCGGGGAATTTTGAGGCGTTTGGTGGTGGCAGAAATACCTATCATCTCAAAAGTCTCCCTTTGTTGAGGCCCGATGGAACCCCATGAACACTTGAGCCTCCTTAATCATTTTTTTTTCCATCAATCTTTCCCTTGTGACCTGACCTTCTTCCTCCTCCCTCAACAGGTGTTATGAGGATGGCGACGGCTTTGACGGCCGTGGCGATGCAGCAAGAGGACAGAGAGAAGATTATGGTGCGCAAGTCCGACCGGACTGTCTTGGAAGTGTACATCGACACCACGCTCCTCGAGCCTGACGAGCAGACCACGATCCGAAGAGACAGTGAGCATCTCCTGTGTGTCAGTCCCTGGGACAGTAACCCGCCTGACAGCCTTGCCCTCAGTGCTGCAGCAAAGGCTGATTTTTAAAGTGTTCCCATTGGATATTATTAATTGTAGTGACTAAGCCAAGATGATGGTCGGTCAGATTTGATTGGCTATTGAGCCAGTTATGCGTATCAACTCCTCGCTATCTGACCGTTTCCATACTTTCAAAAAACAGAACAGAAACAGAACGAATGCTTAATGCAGTAAAATCTAAGCACAGTTTCGAAACTTTGAAAGTATTTTCCAATACCATTTTGTTTTAAACCAGCGACCATTCAGTTCTGTGATCTCTGTCTTCATCTCGGCCTATCTCCTCTTTCACAGGTTTCTTCATCACCTTCCCTCAGCTGTACGAGAAGGGAAACCTGACCCAGGTCATTGTGACGTTCATCGACTCAGAGATGGCGGTCGTTGTCAACGGCACGCAGGAGATGCTCACGGCCCAAGTCCTGGTGCCCTACAGATTCAGGGTATGTTTCCGACGTGTAGTTGATGATGCGGGGCTTGGTCATTCTCTTTAGACTCTATCCATTCTCAGCGGGACCAAGATACCAAGATTAAGATTTTCCTCGCAACGGGGTCTCCTTTGGTTGGAACTGTATTTCGCTTGTTCACAAACGACTGTAAAACGCACACGTTACAGCTGCGTCGCTACCAACAAAATGATGTGTGGACCCCACCAACATGGCTCTTTTTTAACCGATTAGGGACTCTTTTGCTCAAGGCGAAAATCGGATGTTGTGCAAATATCGCTATTTCCAAGCTTTCACCACATGAATTGTAACTGTAGTGTTCAAGATCTCTCATTTCCAGAGTTGTAACGAGTCACTAATTTTTGTGACTCGAGTCGAGTCATTGTAGTGCAGGGACTCGAGTCGAGTCATTGACTTCAGTCATTACAACTCTATGGCGTACTGTTTTCTTTCTCTCCTTTGGCCAGAACTGGGTGAGGGGACTATTTGGATCCTGGGACGAAAATAAGGACAACGACCTCCAATCCAGGTCAGGGCAGATATTTAAGCCAACGGACGATCCTTTGGCACTCTACCAGAACTTCGGACAAACATGTGAGTTTGGTTAGGTCAAGTGGCAGTGGTTCTGACTTGGATTACTGACTCTTGATTAGAGTCGGTCTTTTGGTTTAGTTTACTTTATTTTTGTCAAATCGAGACTTGACTTCACTCAGGAAAAAACAACTTCTGACTGTTGATACTGTTTTACGCCGGAGAACGCAACATCACCCGTCTTGGCTCGAGTAAATTTGGCTTGTTTGATAGTGACTTTTATAGGAAAAATTTACATTTATGACTTTCTGTGTGCAATAGGACATCTGTGCTTAACATCATGCCGCTATTTCATCTTTGGAAATAGATGATGGAATACATGGGCGGAACTGCCAGACCTGTTTTGTAAAACACCATGGCCATATCTTAAGAAGAATTTGAATGTACCGTGTCAACCATACCTTATATGGCACTTGAGTGGACTTGGTTTGGTCGACATAATGCATTCATTCATTATATTGTTTAATGTGATAACAATTTATTATGTTTGTAGATCAGGACTCACATCCAAGGGTTTGAAGTGGACATAGTTTACAATAGTATTATTAATAAAGTGACAATAACTAAAATCAAGATTATGATTAATTATATTAAGGATAAAAAAATTACCAGCTCAAACTGACAAAACACCAAATATGACAATAACAACACAATCTTAATAGAAAACAGCTCAAAACAAATAAACGATGATTTACAGTTTAAAAAATACATATAAAAAAGTAACAATAAAATAGATGTGGGGACTTACGCATTGACAAGTTTAAAGCACTGACAAAGGGAATAGATATGTGCGCTTAAGACCGGCTGAGAAGAATGGATACGACTGATGCCAGGGCCGCAGGCAATGGTTCTCCAGGGCAACGTCTGAAATGTTAGTTTAAGACCGGCCAAGCACATATATATTCCCATTCATAAATATCTTTTTAGTCAGAGAGTCAAAAGAAGTCAACATACGATGGATTTAAACGATTTTATTCTAAAACTTTACTTTCAGTTTCCCTCTCAACCCCGTCTATTTTATGATATATTCCTTTTGAAAGTTGTCCAATAGAATCCCCTTCAGTGACTTTGACTCGCGCGTTGCGCGTCGCGTGCACGCAGACTCCAGACCAAAATCTCATTAAAAAGCAACCAATAGAATAGAATAGAATAGACGAACTGATGCAGGAAAGATCTAAGTTATTTCTGGACAATTGAGCAACCAGAAAGCATTCAGGAAGCGTATCATGTGTAGAAAATGATTTCTCTTGGTTGACGCGCAGTCCCGGTGATATGTCTCAACTTTGGACAGAGCACACACTTATGCCGCGTACTCTGTTTGAGGACTTAAGTGTCCTGGTGTATATGTGGAAAATAAGTGGGAAATAGGTTGAGTACGGTGTTAATTTTAAAAGTGCCACATTCACTGTCCGAGGACATGATATATTTCCAACGATTACTGTACATGCATCCCCAAACCTAAGCGTGCCAATGACATGACTGAGTGGTACGGTTTCCTTGGTATTTCTAGGGGAGATAGAAAGCGACGGGACGTTGTTCCACTACGAAGGACTCACCCACGATGACTTCCAGGACGAGACCTTCGTCCCGGACTTCGACGCGCCCGGGGACACCCAACTGCCGCAGCCCACGGACTTGGAGCGGATTTGCCGGGGGAATTCCTACTGCACGTACGACCTCATGACTACGGGCAACATCGAGCTGGCCAAGGCTACCATGCTGGCTTACGACCAGTTCTGGCTCGCTTATGGAGCTTCGTTCGATCGTAAGTAGTGTGCGGGGCCCCACCTTCACATAGCTAAATAGCAGGCAACATTGCTTGGTATATTTCCCTACGAGCGGAGAACCAGTCTCGAGTATAGCGAAATGAGCCATGGCATTTGGTGTTTCAAAAAGGCTAGGTCATTCGAGAACAAAGCACGCCTGTCAGTCAGCGTATGGCCACGCTGACAGGGCAGACCATCGCTGGCATGTGCTGTTGTTCCCGAATGATCCCGAATGACGTATTTCCTTCAGAGCTGGCGCTGTTTGAATACCGAGATGGCTCACGGGCCCCAGAATGGTGTTTAAAACTTAACTCATCTCAAGCGCGGCGCAGTAACTGGGGTACATCTGGCAGGGGGCGCTTTAATAATTGTTGCCACCATTTTCAGGAAGGGTGCACTCAATATGGCCGTTTCTCAATAGTGCGCCACCAAGAGTTTGCAACGCGTTGGCCAATCACGACGCACGAAATTTGTTTACCCCAATGTGCGTTTGAAAAGGGTGGACAAATTTCGTGCGTTATGATTGGCCAACGTGTTGCAAACTCTTGGTGGCGCATTATTGTGAATCGCCCGTATCGCTTCGGTCACAGTTAAGACACCGAACAAAATGGGCTACCACCCGAACTGTTGTCCCTTCTCTAATATCTGAGGGGGAGGGGCCAAAGGCCTCGAGCAAAGGATAGAGCCCCATGCGATCTCCGTATTACGCCACTGCCTAAGGGCGTGACGACTTAACAAGAATATCATAATTTTGCATTAAAAAGGTTAAACCTGTTGTTTCTAACTTGTTTCCGTGAAATTATATTTCAGATCTGCGAAATGACAATATTCACAAATTTTAATGTATGGTGGTTGTAAATTTAGGGCCCATTTTTTTTGTTCGTGCATGTGTTACACCAGGCCGATTACAGTAATGCAGAGTACCTTCCAAAGAAATGAATCTGGTTTGGAGTTGATTTCACAAGTCAGTCGTAAATGGGGCACCCAAAAAGGCCACCCTGTTGGACCCAGCATGACCCGTATACGAGCTGAGATTGAACAGAGAAACCACCAGGAACTGGAACTATGCAGCAGTCACCGAGTAGTTTGTTACGCGCATGCGTTCCACTTTAGCTCAATTTCTTGTTGGGAATCGAGTACGAGTTGAAATACAGTCACAATTTACTTTTCCAAAGTTTGAGCCGTGATGAAAGATAGCGCTCAAAAACGACCTGATATCTAAATGAGAAGCAATACTCATTCCAAATTAAACCCCAAACTCATACCCCAGGCCAGACCTAACACTGCAACAACTCTGTTCGGTAGTTGTAAGCCTTCTTTCTTCCTGTTAATTCGTCTACATGTTTAAATGCTTATTACAGTTGTTTATGGATAGTATTTAGACGTTTGATATTGATGTTTGAGAAGTTCTAAACTTGATCACCGGATGATCGAAGTAACTTTAAGATTATGCTCTGTTGCGAAACACATTTTTTTAAGTGAAATGAAAACTCGAGCCAAATGTCTAACACAAGGCCAAATAAAATCCAAAATAAAAACAAATTAAAAACTATTCCCTTTTTCCTTTTTGTTCATCAGTAATCACCTGTGATTATCTAAAGACTCCTAAAAACGGCACCAAGACGTTCCTGAGAAAGAGAGATCACCAAGTTGGGTCAGAGGTAAACGCTCTGTTTTTATGTCTTTTTCTCCTCTTCTCTTTCTTTCTTCCAACCATTGTGAGCTCCATTGGACATGACAGATCCACCACCAGAAATCGACGGCAACCTCACAAAATTGCATGCAGTTTGTTTTGTTGTGGCCATGTATTCCTGTGCTCCGTCCTCAAGTGCCAAGATAATTTAGGGTTTGAGAGCTCTGAAAGTATTCAAGGCACAGGCAGGATGTGGTATCTAAGAAGCGTATTTTATTCTTGAAGTTATTTTTCTTATTCCAAACTACTATGGGGTACCTGTAGTTGATGTTAACGACCGGGTTTACTTCTGAAAATCTTCAGATCGAATTTGCGTGCGAGGATAATTTTATCCTCGTCGGCTCTCCATACCGGGTGTGCGAGCCGCCCCAAGTGAATCAAGGAGAGTTCCGTCAAGGCCAGTGGAGCGGGAACGAAATCGACAACACCTGTGTGGGTGAGTTATGGAGAGCCCAACGATCTATAAAGACACACCGTTGTAACAGATACATGTATCTGTTTTGAGGAAATCAGGCTGCCCGTTTATCCTCGGGAGTATTGTGAGAAAACTATCAGTGAAGTTCAACTCTTCAACGTAGCAGGAGGGATCTTCGTGGGTAGGGGTCGACACTCGACATTACCCTGGCACACAACCTTTCCCAAATGTCGTCCAGCAGAACATATGCAGCAAGGAATGAGACGGAGAGAACCCCCCCTGCTTTGTGTTGGTCATTGTCTCGCAGGAATCGGGGGAATTCCTTCAGGCATCTTAGGGGGGTGTGTTAAGTAACAATAGTCTGGAATGTGTATACGGATTGGACATGTTGGAGGGGTATCCCTCGGTCTCATTTCTTGCTGGGTATACAGCAGAAACAGCAGGAATTTTCCAGTCTGCTACTCACCCGGGTAAACCATTTATTGAGTTTGGGACCGGCAGTAAAAAAATTAATAAGACCAGGCACAATAGCGTATATCACATTAAATGGTTCTCGATATAGTGAAGGGGTGTTATGTGTAATTTTTGACTCCGTGAAATAAGTAGGCTCGTGGACAGTAATGCGCATGACTTGGTGTGCACAATGATAGCAACCAACACTCGAATGTAGGCCAAAAGCAGGGAATTCACATGAGGACAGAGAGACATGTTTTCTTACTGGAGTAAAACCATTCATAGGACATCAATATGCATTGACCAATTAGATCCCTTCAAACTATGCGTTTACCCCTTTTCTGTCCAATCAGAGAGTCTCATCTGTGGAGGGCTGCCAACCCCAACACACGGCAGCCTGCGAGTGGAGGGTCCCCCGGAGAACATGAAGGTGATCTACTCATGCGACGAAAACTACGACTTGTACGGGCGGACGGAGCGATTCTGTGACACGGAGAGAGAGACTTGGATTTATATCGAACCATACTGCTACCGTGAGTTCACGCTCAAAGGAAATATCTTTTGGCCGTGTAGACAGTTAGGACAGGGGAAAGGAATCAAGCCGTGTAAATATTTTGAGAGCCAAATACTCAGCAGAAACTCCGATGTTGGGTCTCCATTGGACTTTATTGCTATTAATTCAACACTGTATTTTTGTTTTTGTCTTCACCTCTTTCTTGGGCATTTTGTCAAACCCCGTCTACGTCTAAATGTTTAGCTTCATTGGTGTGGCTTCTTGGTAGACGGATTTGTCGATTGCCCAAATCAGGACGAGTCGGGTCTGGGCCGAAGCCGAAGATGTGGCCCAAATTTAAAAGAATGACCAGGGAAGCGTGTCGAACAATGAAAATGTGTCCATCATCCGATCACTGACAACAAAAGGCCCGCAACTCCAGTGTGACGGGGGAGATCAATTTATATCGATCGGTGTATAAAATTTATTATGATCCAATCGACATATGACATTAATCCGATTGGCGCAGTAGAGAAGCCGCCACTTAGAGACTGAGTCATTCTGGTATGCCAGATAGCAGGTTGGTTTATTTTATCTCTCCATCGGTGTATAACTCCCACTCATCTCTCAATCGACAGACAAACTGAACCCCATCGAGGTAGCCGGAGCGGTCGTAGGAGGCATAGCCGCCTTGGTCGTCTTCATCGTCCTCATTGCCATCTGCTGCGTCCTGCAGATAAGGTCACGCAAAAGGAAATCTCACTTCCCGGTAAGAACTCGTGCAGTTCCCCTGCCCTTCCATGTACCCTCCCCCTCCCCCGGGAAATCGCAATATCAAGTACTTTAAAAGCGCTTCGATATGCGTCTCAATTTATTCAAAGGCTCTTCAATCAAAAATTATTGTGACTTTTTTTCTGAAGTCTAAAAAGGTGTTAAGAAATTCAACCCGATCTTGCTATCGAGACAGGAAGGATTGCAAAAGCCCCCCCCCCACACACACACACACTACCATCTTTTTGGGAATGAGGACGTTTTAATTAATGGATGAAACAATTTAGAAAGTCATTTTAGGAAAAAAGGGTCCTTTTCTCCTCATCCGTACATAAGCCTGCATACGTCATTGGGTCATATGTCCAATTCACGATGGCCTTGCCGGCTTGGCCAAGACAGCAGTGACCGCTTCCCCGGATCGAGCGCTCTGCTCATTTGTCCCCCTACTCCACCACCAGGGAGACAAGGTCTCTAAGAAGCAGAAGCGAAAGCAGAAGCAGCCTAAGAAAGGGGATGCACCGGACGTCAGTGGTCGCGAGCCCGCGTATCAGGTCAGCGACACGCCCGTGGAGGTCCAGCGCTTCCCCAAGACGGCCATCGAGCCTTCAGAGGACCCGTACAGCCGGCAGCTGCGCCAGCAGCTGCAACAGCGCCCGCAGTACACCAACGTACCGAGCCGGGTAAGGCCGTGTCCGAATTGCTTCGCTGAGTGCGCCCGGCTTGACGTTGCGCGCGACTCTAATGGGTAATGGCTGCAGCCATCCACGTAGACTCATGCGTCATTCCAAGTCGCAGCCAAGGGGCTTTTCCGAACCAAGGCTTTGCCGTTGGTACATCAGCCCTGGGATGTCATTGGCTCGATGTCGACTTTCACTGGCTCAGTATTGAGTTTGTTTAATTATTTGGGACTATCGAATTTGTAAAGCCTCGAGTTCAGAAAATGTGCATTTCCCTTCATCTGGACTTCCTATTGTCGCTGTCAGTCCATAACTTACTGGCCCTCAAGAAAGAGTTTCCGCGATTATTTTTTTTTTGCGTTATCAAGCCAACAAACCATCTTCTATGTTAACTCCTAAACAAACCCTCACCATACAAAAATCCCCCAGTCTTCAACAAAGAAAGACAGCTTCACATTATACTTATACGAACATTTCATTTATCCTCTTTCCACCATGAAGCCAAGTCCTCACTCTTCTCAAACCCTGCCTTACGCGGAGAAAGACCCCATCCCTGGAACCGGCAGGGCGCCGCCTCCAGAGATGATCTCCCCGACCGAGCCTCGCTATGGCTACACCGACCCAGACAGCGCTTACCCACCGTAAGTATATCAACATAACCGCTTTGATAGGTAACACGAGCCATCTAACGCTATGTAAGCAATCAGCGGAGTATGGCGTCTTCACTACTTTTTACACAAAGCTGATTGGCTCTTTCTTGCACGGATTCACACTCAAGTACCCGAACAATCAAGTGGCAAGGAATTTTTTTAACTTTGTTAACTCCCGTTGTCTGTCAAACTGTACTTGTTGAGGCGTTGTGAGGAGTTTTCGCCGCTCCATGGCGTACATTGAAAAATATGTTGCAAATGTTCAGGCCTGTTTTTATGTACGTGTGGAATAATGTTTGGATGAGCCCCGGAGAAAAGTTAACAAATTTGTAAAGAAGGGATACTGCTCTTACCGGCCGATAGCTGAGAGATTTTGGCAGGCCTTAGAAAAGTAGGTGTTTGAGTTGGAACGTGAATTTCTATATTCTTTCTTTGAAATGAAATTGCCAACGTCGTCCAACACCATTCTGTTGATCTATTGCAAACGTTGCAGAGTTGGCGGCGAGGAGATTGAGATGGAACTTCAGCACGGCAAGAGCTTGGAGAGCTGGGCCTAGACTGGCCTCTAGTCCTTCCACCGTGCGTTAAACGCTCGTTCCTTTAGCCGGACCTTGACTGGTAACTAAATGCGTTGCTTTCTATACAGTTCAAGGGGCAGTTGGAGTGGAAAACCATAAGACTGGGAATTTGACTGACCTGAAAGAAGGTTGACCCTATACGGACACTTCTAAGTCGATTAATTATCTTAATTTGACTGTCAGAGTAACCTGTTTCACATTTGGTCCTTCAAAGTTACGTAGGGGGCCTACATAGTTCCATGCCAAAAGTATTTACTACGGCTCGGGTTGTTCTTGGCTGCGGAGGAATACCTTCCTGAAGGTCCTGTTACAGTGTGGCCACTGACTTGAAATGAAAACATAAACCACTAAACATTCCTTTGTCCACTGTCAATTTATAATCAGAATTATACACAAATAACTTCCAAACGCATAATCTCTTTTCCTCTATTAAACTTGTCAAAGTATAGACCAGTTCATTTCAATCACCGGTACAAAATATCCCAGACTGCTTTCACAGGAAGAGTATAAAATGATGTCCAAATGCCAAAGTATTTGTCTAGTTAGTGTAAACTTTTTTTTTCGTGTAAGCATTTTCGAGTTTAGTCAATCTGTACATACTTTGTTAGTTCGATTATGTATACCAGGGAAGATATGGGCCAGAGGGGTACCCCCCTTACATGTCAGATCCCTATACACACTCTAGACTATTGTTACCTAATACATCCCCCCTAGAAGTCTGTAAAGGATTCCTGAGATTCCGATCAAACAATGACCAACACAAAGGTGTGGGGGGGTTCTCTCCGTCCCATATCTTGCTTCAAATGTTATTATGGGGAAGTCGGTGCCAGTTTCAGTCAACACTGTAGTAGAATACAGTTTAATTTTGTTTCCATGTCTAGAAATGTAGTTAGCAGATTTGTAAAAGCAGGTATCCCTGCGGAAATGTGCAGATTTTCACTGTTATACCATTAGTTTAGATTGGGACGTCGGTTTGAAATCGGAAGTTTGAACGTACGTGAAAACATACATTTTCAGATGGTACAAGCTTAGAAGATGTAGTTCATCTCGAAATTTTGCGAGTCGATTGGGGGAGATATTTTGAAAAGCATTGGATGTAGATTACAGAGTGCGATTTTAAATGTATAAGCCAAATGCATCGACAAAATTAGATGCGTATGTTCCTCATACGCGGCTTTTTTTTTTGTTCTGTTTGGTGTGTGTAGTCGGGGTATAGTTCCTGTATTAGGCCGTGGCATTTTACTTACTCTCAATGGAACCGATTGAGTTTTCGCTTACGCTCATTTGGCTACAAGTTTATGGAAAGGACATGTATCAATGTTGGCTTTCCCTGTGTAGTTTGTCAAACTCCAAATAATTACCGGAAATTATTGTACACAGGAGCGGTTTAGAAATAGCCTGCGTACCTTTTGCCTTTTGTCTCAACGAAGTTTTGACTGCAGCCATAGTTTGTGAAGTCGTTTTGATTTTTTTGGCCAACATCACTGTAGGTTAGCAAAACCTGTGCAAAAGAAATGGAAGGCATTTTGGAAAGTTGTGTGAAAAGTCACTGAAATCTTTGGGGCATCAAAACGAGTGGAAATGGGCTAGTATCTATACGACTTCCCAAGTTTGTAGAAAATCAACTGACTGGCCTTTAATGCAACGTTTCTCTTGGCTTTGTCAGAAGACACACTCACTTTTCGGGGACGAAGAGTGAGACAATGTCAATGTTTACTTTTTTCTACTGTTTTTCTAGCTTTCGCTTCTAAATGCAAATGGTGTTGATTCATTTTAAGATCACGTACCTTTAATGCTGTCGAGTACTAAGACACTGCTGTAGTTGCTTGTGCGTTTCGATCACCAGTCGTAGTTGAAAATAGTGCATTAGTTGTGATAAAGGTTTGACGAAATCAAAATTTATCAAAATGCCTAATTTGAAATGATGCAAAAAACAGTTGTACTTTCTGAACTTCACGGGCGATTTGACATGACCTGATACGCGGGCTTGTGACTCACACACTGTTTCGCATTCATTGTATTAACCATTTCATACATTATGGCTTAAAATTTGCTATTTTTAAAAATGTTGTATATAAAAACTTTTGTAAACGTGTTTTTGTTTTGTTTTGTTTTTTCAAAAAGGAGATAGTTATCTAGTCAGAGTTGCCTGTGAAATGTAACTTTAGCTTTTAATTTCTTTTCAAGCTTATTACGAGTATAGTTGCGTTCATACCTTCGTGAAGCCAACGATTTGAATTCTAAATTCCTCCATAATTATCAACATTTCAAACTTTGGGTATGTACCCTCCATGTTTTTTCCGCGCAGTGTGCGCACTGTGCATGTCATATTTGGGAATTGGAGCTAGCTCGACGATGATTCTGGTCAACCTCTGCTCGAGTATCTGTGATCGAACGCACTGCTATGGTCTGCGGAGGTTGGTTGCATCGCTGGTTTTCAACAGTCTGGTCTATGACATACACACCTTTTCAGTAGGGTACCAGGCCCATACATTGCCGTGATACGTTGACCCCTGTTTTTCTAACTTAAAAGACATTTTCACGACAATTATGCTTGCCGGCTCAATGCACGTCACAGATGAACCACCATACTTATGATCTTTACCCGAACTTGTTCTTGAAAGATTCATTGAATATTAGTTTGTCATGGCACCATCTACTTCGTGAAGTCGTTACGTTGATGGATGTCATGGCACTAGAATACTATTGATGTACAGAAAATGGTATACATATTGTAAATTCAGTTGCTTTTAGTTCTGTTTAAATTTCCTCTTAACGACAATCGAAAGCTTCCATTTACAGATGTAGAGATTCTACTTCAATGAGAATGACGATGCTCTGCTACAATAAAGAGACATAAATTTCGAAATGGCTGGATTTCCTTTTCCCTTGATTCGTATCACAACCATTATCATCCCTGAAGAGAACCTCGTTCCCAATCATAGAAAATAAAAGAACACGATTTCCGAAGCTTCATTATGAATCCATCATAGAAACGTTTCATTTGTGGAAACACGTCCTTTGTCCAAGAATTTGGGGATAGTTTGTCGACTTGCTCCTCACTTTGGTGTAAGTTGCCTTGCGTATTAGATGTCGCAATATCATAGAGTCAGGGAATTGGGTAGGGGTACAAGGTCGGTTTTCTTTAAAGGAATTTGAAGCATACAATAATGGGGTGAAACAAAGACACAGACAACCAAACAGACACCAATACACCGTGAGGGGCTTAGGCCTATGCGGGTTCCAAAACTTCTAATATTTTAATGCGTTAAATAAAATCGAAGTGATAATTCAGGCTGTGCACACGCTGATTTCAGTTTTGACTCTCTTTTATGTGGTGAGTGTAATTTTGTATAGGGTTTGGTTTGGTGGTTTAGTTTTTGTTGGGTTGTTGGGGTGTTTGTTT